ATACTGTTTCTAAGTGTGGTCTCATTTTGTGTAGTGTTTTGATTATGTTGAAGATAAAATTATGTCAGTGTTTATTTGAAAAATCCCAACTAGCAAATTCAGCTAAGATGAGAAGGAGGACACAGAGATGGAGGAAGAAGTAAACAAAGTATGACGGAGAAGAGTGAGAAGAGCCCTAAGAGAATAATGCTCAAGGAAGAACTGAGGAAGCAAGGGGTAAAGGATGAAGAAATGGAGAAATAAGCCAGACAAGACACAAAAATATTGGAAATAACTTAACAGACGAGAAAGACTGACTTTTCTCGCATCGCCTCCCGGTGTATCCCTGCAGACAGGAGCAGACATTGTTCCTCATACACAGACCGCCATTCTTACAGGGAGGACTGCAGACAGCTGGAAGAGGAAAAATAAATCAAGTCAAATCAAACGTGGGGAATTTCAAATTGAGCCTTTGTAATATGTCCCTGACTTAAGAATAACTTTGAATACTTGAATTACTGATTGACTTAGTGATTGATTGACAGCTGAGCTTGGAGATTTACCATTCTGACATTGTGCCCCGTAGAAACCGTGAGGACACTCGCAAATATTTGCCCGAAGACACGAACCTCCGTTCAGACATACGGGAGAACAGAGAGCTGGAGAGAGAAACGAGAGCATCGGCGTTGAGAGGTCAGTACACACACACACACACACACACGCACAAGCACCAAAACACACTCACCAGTCTCACAGGACAGTCCGGTCCAGCCTGGCGAACACATGCACTTGTCTGGAGACACGCACTGGCCTCCGTTGTGACAGTGACGGCTACACACCACTACAATCAACAAATAATATTTATCACAATCATGATAAGAACAATCACTCTTTATAAGCAAAGGGATTCAGAAACATGAGTAAATATGGAAAAACAGGTGAACTGTGAACTCACTGGTCTCACATCGAGGTCCAACAAACCCATAAGGACAGGAACAAGTCTGCAGTCCCACGCAGGTGCCTCCGTTTTCACACGGAAGTCTGCACAGAGCTGCAGAGTTGCTTTTCAATTAGTTACATCATTATAATTATTGACTTCATATTTGTGTCCAATGTTAATCATAATCAGAATCAGAAATACTTTAATAATCCCAGGGGGAAATTATTTAAGAAATGATAAGATTAAGACTACTTTCAGAAAGTACTGTCTGTGACTGACTAACTGAGAAAAAGAGGTCATCTTTACCTTCCTGACAGGTTTCTCCATGAAAGCCTCTGAGACACTGACACACACCCGGAGCTATGCAAACACCCCCGTTCATACAATCCGGCTCACAGATTGCTATGATAATATGGATAGACAAAAAAAAAGAAAAAAGGAATATATAAAAACAAACAGAGCTAAATAATAGCTGAAATAATTTATAGATGCCATTTGTTTTACCTGTCTGACAGTTGAAGCCAGTGTAGCCTGGTTTGCAGCGGCATGTATTGGGCGCTGCACACTCCATGTTCCTACCACATGTATGTCTGCAAACAGCTTGAAACAGAACAGGGTTTTGCACTGTTAAACCTGTGTACAGCTGTTTAATTTTTATGTATTAACTTGTAATACAAAAAAATATTGTCTTAATGTAAGGAAGCAACTGGGGAAGTTTCATGGTAAAA